TATCAAGTAATCTTGCCTTTGTTTTGTTTTTCACGACTTGCTTGAACCCCGTTGGGTCCGGGTTAGAATAGGTCCCCTATTCTGGTTGGAAGATCCGGTGGTCAGGCTTGGTGACTTGGATGATTACATGTCATAGTACCCCGAAGGTGTGGTTTGTTGCTCACAAAATCAATCACTGGATTGTCTGGCTGGTATTTACTGTTATTCCACATGTGACTAATTGCCAGGAGGTATTAATAGTATTCAATATTGCCATAGAACTCACAGTTTTAGTTTTACTTCAAGTGAAAAAAACAGATGAATGAGTGAGTGAGTTGGATTTAACACTGCTTTTAACAGTATTCCAGTTATATCGCGGCGTGTCAGCTTAATGTGGGAGGAAAGCTCAAAGTGATGCAGGTCTCAGACGTTTACCACTTCGGTGAAACCCACTAGCACGGGTATGGTGCTGACAAACCTAGAAACATAATCGGGGCAAACCGGGATTCGAACCTACAATCATAGGTTTCTGGCTTGCCCAAGGGACGCAACTCTTCACAGCGAATCGCGGCGCCTTAGACGACTGGGCCACCCATGCCCCCTGACAATTTAGAGGCTGCTATGATATGTTGGAGTAATATATAAGTGTGGCGTTAAACAACAAATATCCTTCATGACGTAATAGTTAAGGCATAAATACTTGCTACTATACTTCACGTAGTGGCTCAGCACATATGGTGGGGTGAAATGTGTTCAAGATTATTGCACTTATATAGTTACGTTCATGCTTACTTGTTTATGTAGCGGCTTTAGTCCAGAATTATGCCCATTTAATAGTGATAACCCATCAGACATAATATACTGGTTCACCGCCAACCAGTCCTTGTGTTATATCCTCAATGCCAAGAGCCAGGCAGGGTAACAACAAGTACCATCTCTTTAACATTTTGGTATGATGCAACCAGGGATTCGAACCACTGACCTCCCCTCGCCAGTGATTTTGACACACAAATCTGTACATAGGTCAATTACTTGGACCCGAGAAATGTAATAAGTCAATGGCAAAAGTCAGTAAATCTGAGAGTATGATGCAAAGACATGCACTGATCAGAATTTTAATTACAGGTTACGCTAGCTGTGCATTGTTCTATTAAATCGATACCGTAAATAGGACTTATCCTTACTACCATATTTACTTTTAATTTATGAAATTATGACACGTGTGACGCCTTGCTTAGGCTAAAAAAAATAAAAGTCTTGGTTCTCAGGCACAGCCCGCGTCATCATAAAGTTCACTGCGTGTTTTTATTTCCATTTTATAAAAAAAACAAAAAACCCTTAAATATTCCATGTCCAACAGTTGTCAAATACTGTAATCCAGTATTTTACTCATCAAGGAATACATTTATGTAGGGAAGCCCTTTTCCTAGGTTGATTGTACACAATTGTTTATTGGTTACATACTAGTTTGAACACCTCCCCCCCCCCCCCAAAAAAAAGAAAGAAAAAAAGAGACCGCCCGTCTGCGCTATATTTTCAGAAACCACTGCCTGAGAACCCATTCTTTTATTTTTTTAAGCCTTTGCATTTCTATCCGTCAAAAGTCTGACTAGTTAAACCATCTGTCTAATTGAAATTTTATCGGTCTATGACTGGTGATCTGACAGCCATCTGAAACTCTGCTCTCTGGGCAGGTGCTCTATCCACTCGACCACGGAGGGACATTATAGTCAGATATGGAATATGAGGTGCTGTTAAACCATGCAGAGTTATGTCCCTTTTGCTCTGCTGTAAGGTATCTTGCAGTCCCCACTGCCCAAAGTTTGTCAACACTTTTACTCACTCAGTTGAGATACTTGTCAAATGTTGACTCACACTTCGTTCAGCAATCTTACAGGTAGAACATGGTGACCTGTAACTGATGACGTCTGCACCAGACAAATGGGTCATAGCATCATCAATGATCTGAAAAACGATTAGCCAGAGCCCCGTTCTCCAAAATGATTGCAAAGCCGATACTTACAACAGTCATGAGTTTACTTTGATGTTAACACATTCTAGAAGTATCTGCAAGCTAGTACTGTGCTAGTATGGTGCTGATTGATCATTTTCAGGATCAATTTGGGTCCACAAGCAGTGGATCCTGACATAGCTATGGAACACATCTCGGCAAAGAGTTCCAGCCTCTTGCATTACTAGGCTACCCAATCACCATCAAAGAAAAAAATTGAAATATAAAATAGAGATGAATGAGTGAAAAAGATGGTTTAATAACAACTCTTCGTAACCACATACACATTATTTCAAGCAAAACATATCTTGCATAAATGACGGAAACTGTTCACAGGAAATTTTTGATATTGAAAAAACATTCTCAATGCATCTTCCATATATATATGTATTCTATTTTATTTATGGAAGGTCGGTGGGGTAGCCTAGTGGTCAAAGAGTTCCCTCATCACGTTGAAGGCCTGGTTTCGATTCCCCGCATGGGTACAATGTGTGAAGCTCATCTCTTGTGTTCCTGCGCTGTGATATTGCTGGAATATTGCTAAAAGTAGCGTAAAACCAAACTCATTATCCATGGAAATATTTTCGTCATGGCTATATAACACTTTTGAAAGGGAATTTACTGTTATTCCACATGTGACTGATTGCCAGGAGGTATTAATAGTATTCAATATTGCCATAGAACTCAGTTTTAGTTTTACTTCAAGTGAAAAAACCAGATGAATGAGTGAGTGAGTTGGGTTTAACACTGCTTTTAACAGTATTCCAGTCATATCATGGCGTGTCAGCTTAATGTGGGAGGAAAGTGATGCAGGTCTCAGAAGTTTACCACCGGTGAAACCAACGAGCACAGGTATGGTGCTGACAAACCTAGAAAAATCATCGGGGCAAACTGGGATTCTGACCCACAATCATAGGTTTCTGGTGTGCCCAAAGGGATGCAACTCTGCACAGCAAATCGAGACAACTGGGCCACCCATGCCCCCCTATCAACAGATGTGTAGTATGGATGTCCTGCACTTAGTGCCGTTAGTCGCCTCTTACGACAAGCATAGTTGCCTTTTACGGCAAGCATGGGTAGCTGAAAACCTATTCTAACCCAGATCTTCACATTTTATCTATCAGTAAACACAATGGTGTCTGGTGAACGTGGAAAACAGCTTTACAGATCGTTGGTTTATGGGTTGTTGTTGACCTTCTTTTTTACCCCTTGGATATGCATACTAAGTGAGTATGGTTTTACACCGCTTTTAGAAATAGTCCAGCAATATCACGGCGGAGGACCACAGAAATGGGCTTCACACGTTGTAGCCAAGTCGGAAATCGAACCTGGGTCTTCGGCGTGATGTGCGAACGCTTTAACTACTAGGCTACCCGATTGCCCCATCTAATAATGAACACCAGAAATAGGCTTCACATATTTTACCATTGCAGGGAATTGAACCCGGTCTTCAGTGTGGCATGCAAATGCTTTAACCACTAGGCTACAAGCCCCCGCTCGGATATTTGTAACAAATCTTGGCCGTTACCTAAAATAATACAGTACACTCTCCGGTAACATTCAACAAAGCAATAGCTAGTTAAGTCTAGGTGGATCCAGACATATACCTAGGCACTGGACTCAGTGTCCCAATTTCTTATTAGTGTCAGTGAGATCAGTTAACAGGTCTTGAATCAACAACACAAGCAAATAAATATAAACAGTTCATAAATATTCTGTAATGAATGTACAGTCACCATTGCATAAACACACACACAGTAATGGGGCAACAGCGACAAGTCTGTCAGTTCATCTCAGCAACATTGTTGCCTACCTAGTGCACCAGTATGTGGTTGGGGTTCATACCTGTGTTTCTCAGCAAAGCACTGCCCACTGGGCCACTGACCACCCTCATCACCATGACAGAATGACAAGCTTCCATAACCATCCATCATCACCATTAACATTTGTCATGGTAATGGAGTCCCCTATATAGGTAAAGAAGGACTTTTCCCAGGCAACATGGCAGTCCTTGTATGTTTCTTGCAAGTCTCTAATCGCTGTTTCTTTTAAGACAGTGGAAACCTTATATCACTAGTCCTCAGAGTTTGTAGCTAGTTCTGCTTGAAAGGGAAAAAAATGGTTATCATGTTTACATTTTCTGTCAGTTTTATTCAGTTTCAATTTGTCGCAAAAATGAAGTGTTGAGATCTGTTTCAGATTATAGCTTTCAAATCGTACTACCAGTGAGTGAGAAATACCATCACTGTTTTTTTTTACTTGTCCCCAGCACAATTTAGTAGCTTGGGGCTAGCAGACTAGTGTGAAATTCAAAGGCTGACTATTACAAGCTTGCTATTCAGTGAATAAAAATATGGCGGACCCTATTACGTTTTGATCGGAACTGGAAATGGTCAGGAGATCAGTTAAGGTTAACTCATGACAAAATAAGTTGATCTCTAGAGTACTTACAGCACATACGTGAGTGAGTTGGGTGTATGTAGCTCAATGCCATATGTTTGGAAACTGATTGTGAGGATGAAGCCCTGATGTATATTCCCAATGCTACCCACTGTAAAACACAGACCATAAAGTATAAGTATCATTAGGGGAAAGGATGCTTCATATTCTTCATTCGGTGTCCCCTGACACCCAAAAACAAAAATAGTCACACAGCACTGTAGCTCACCTGAATGTGTAGGCAACAGATTTAAAGATAGACACTTAAGAATAATCACGGTCATCATTGATATTTAAATATTTTCTGTATAATTACTGAGGAGTAAAAACTAACACAGAAAATCAATTGATTTGAACAAAATATGTTGTCATCCTAAGGAGAAACATGCCTAATTTCTGCTTCCTCTGTCTATCAATATCGGAGAAGTTTACAGAACTAATATGCCTTTGAGAGCAGTTTCAGCTTCATTGGTCCAGTGTTTACGATGGACGATTGATGATGGAGAAACGGGACTTGACAAAAGCTCACTTGGCTTTCAGTCAGGTGAGCTAAAAAAAGGAAAAATGGACCTTGAGTGGGACTCTTTATTAAACTAAAACAATATAAATCATCCACCCATATTTCAAGAATTGTAACCAATGGATTATGTTGTATCCTAAGCCTGTTCAGCTTATAGCGACCCACGTTGTCCATCACTCAGCCTGTCTGTATCTCTATGCTGCACCGACTGCCTCCTTGAGGCGAGACTGCAGGTACTGTACAGTCTTCACCACTGTGTTCTTGTCCGCCAAGTCCGTGTAGGAAACCTGAAGTCACATTCAATAACCAGTTTGGGGGAAAAGCTCAACAAATAACACGTGCCTGTATTTTAAGATACTATTTGTGTTCGTGTTTCTGAGTCTTTGTGGCATATTTGTAGATGATTTTGTAGAATGAGGTCCATAAATCTCCCCAATATCATAACACATCAACTAAAATTATTTTCATAAATTGTAGATAATTATCAAATGTTCATGTGTCCTTGCGGCCTGCTTAATCAGTATCTTAACACAGGGATACCTTCAATCTTTACCATTCAACATTAGGATCATGAAAAGGACCCTGTCACTTTATTTCATTTTTTATATTTTTAGAAATTTTCCAGCCCTATAACCAGAAATGGGTTTCACACATGATACTCATTCCGAGAATGGAACCTGGGCCTTCAACATGACAAGGCAATAATTTACCCACTAGGCAACTAAATAGCCATATTGTTATATTATTAACAGTATTGCTGATGTGAACTACTAAAGTATTCTTCACTATCTTATACTACTCTTAACACTTTAGTAGGGGATACTTAAACTTAAAATTTCAAAAATTGTTAGCTTCTAATAATATGTATGATAATTCGGAATGACACATTACAACAAGTTGTGAAGTACGACAGAAGATGTTATGACCGCCAATGATCTTTAAGAAAGACAGGGTTGAGAGATGAAATTTCAAAGCTGACGTTTCTGTATCAGTAGTGCGTAATACCGCAATGATTTTTCATGATTTGAGAGTCGCCTCTTACAACCAGCATAGGTTGCTGGGGTCCAATTCCAACTGAGAATCCTAATGGGTTACAACCAGAATAAAGTGCTCTAACCCAGAATCCCCATGGGGACCTCTATGTGTGTACTTGTCTGTCATACAGACCCTGAAACAAATATATCCAATACAGCCCATGCAAGTCTATAATATTTGGTAAGTCTAGATTACTACAAATAAGGATAGTCTCTTGGCTCCTTTTTATTATATTTTATAACTATAATTTAACAACTGTTTTATTTTCGGCAATACATGTTAATTTCAGAGACTAGTTTGTTTGTTTGTTTAACATGACACATCGCAATATTTCCGCTATATGACGGCGGTCTGTAAATGATCGAGTCTGGACCAGACAATCCAGTGATTGACATCATGAGCATTGATCCACGAAATTGGGATACGATGACATGCATCAACCAAGTCAGCGAGCCTGACTACCCGATCCCGTTAGTCGCCTCTTACAACAAGCATAGTCACATTTTACGGCAAGCATGGGTTGCGGAAGACCTATTCTAACCCGATCTTCACAGGTCTTCAGAGACTAGATGCAAGTCTATGTGTGTACCTGCACCACCTTGTAGCCGAGCAGAGAGAGGTGGCGCGCCTTCATGGCCTGGAGTCCAGTGGGGGCGATGTCGTGCAGCGTCATGTCCAGGTAGTCCTGCACCAGGATACACACCCTGCAAATAACAGGTAGCAGCTCATTAGGCCTAAACCTATACAGAACAAGAAGACAGAGTCATCCATATCCCCCACCATCCTTGCATGCTTACAATTTTAAATAAATACAGTAAAACACGGATATTATGAACTACGTATATCACAAACTGATTTCTCCGGTCCCTTGTAGTTAGTTATATCCATGTTCTACTGTAGTTTTGATTTCTGTGTAGACGTCAGACACCAGTCCTAACTACCCTGAAATATTTCCTACCCTGGATTTGAAAATCATAGAATGTCGACATGATTTCACCACTTGCCTGAGTGATGTGTATACAAACTTTTACAAAGATATATGAAACAGTTTATGAGTTATGCTCTTGATTTGAGCAAGTGCAACAAATAAAATAAGTTCCATAACTGTAAAATATCAATTCGTGACTGTGTTTTTCAACTTAAAAACATATTCATCATTTATTAATGTATTCAAGATGTCATCTGTGGTGGTTCCTGAGAACTTGGCAGAACTAAGCACCATGGTCAAAAGACCAAAGGGAGATAATTCTGTAAAACAAGACTTTTTGATGTTTTTCAAGCTTGATCCACAAAATATTATATTTATCCCTTCATGATGTATGAAATATCATGCTTTATCCATTGCAGATCTCGAAAAAATCTGTCCCATTTTGGGGTCCAGTGCCAGAAAACATAAGGCAAGGGCCATAACTCTGTAACATATTTTCCCCTGATGTTTCAGTTTTTAACTTCATCAACATAGGGTGTTTAATGTGTTAATGATGTTTGTAAAATCTCATCCCTTGTATCCAGAGTTGAAAAGATCAAACAAGGGCCATAACTATGTAAAACATAAATCAGTGATGATGTTTTTTTAATACAATGAACTTATTTATCCCGTAACAAACAGTGCGAAATGTCATCCTTGTATTCATGGCGGTTTCACCATTGAATTTAGATGTTAGGAGCCCAAACCTATATGCCTGCTCCACTGTGTAGCAGAAGATAATAACATATTACCTATGAAGCTCTGGGTCATCAACTGACGAGTCATACGGCTTTGGTGTTCCACTTTTGTCAACAAACAATTCTGCATCTGAAAATTAGGCAATTATTTACAAAACAGTGTTTTAAGTTTATGAATCAATTGGAAATGCCTGTTTTTAATGCAGTAGTCATTATTAAAGTTAATTTGAAGATCAGATAATTCTACCAAATATTGCCATGATCTGTGTTACATATACACGACGCACTGTCAGGTAAATACAATCACTCTCTTGTGGGTATCATGAACCATAACTTTTCTTAATTTCATAATTTCGGTACGACGAACGACATTAGTGAGTTGTCTTGGCAACCCAATCCATCATGTGTTATACTTTGGGTCTGGAGCCGTGAAGATCTGGGGTAAAATAGGTCTTCAGCAACCCATGCTTGCCGTAAAAGGCGACTATGCTTGTCGTAAGAGGCGATTTAGGGGATCGTGTGGTCAGGCTCGCTGACTTGGTTGATGCATGTCATCGTATCCCAATTGCGTGGCTCATGATGTCAATCACTGGATTGTCTGGCTCAGACTCGATTATTTACAGACCGTCGTCATTCAGCTGGAATATTGCTGAGTGCGGCGTTAAACAACAAACAAACCAAACCAAACTTAGGGTTTGAGTAGACAAAGTTGGCAAACGGGACAGCAAGAAATGGTGTGCTGCAGGAAAAGTTCATGAAATGGACAACATACGAACCTATGTGATACCCAGAGCTGCTGAAAATATTGGACTTGACGTATTTCTCCAAAGGAACCATTGTCGAGAGTGCCTTGTCAATCAGTTTGGCACTTGATCTGTTTTTCTTCATAAACTGTCACAAACAAGACAAACAATACATGAGTGGGTGGGTGGGTGAATGAGTGAGTGATTTTGTCAGTTATTTAAGAACTGACTTAAATATATTTTTGCATTTATGGAAAATACACATAAAGACTGATTTGTGCACTGTGTAAATATGTATAGTGGACTTATGCTTGAGTGTGTACTCCATAAACGCAAAAACATATTGAAGTCAATTCTTATAAATAAATACATCAACAATAATAACTTTGGCTGCTTATTTAATGATTAACACGAACATGACAAAAGAAATTGTAGATAACAATACAAAATAAGCAACACAAGCCCCGCCCAATCCATCATCAGCCAGTCAGGTAACAGAATTCCGTTAGCAGATGTGGCCTTTTTTTTTAAAAACAAAATAGCTTGGTAGCCAATCAAATGCGATGGACCCACTTGAAGTTTATTCATATTGCTTCGAAATAAAGAATGCACTCAATGGCTATGGAGAAACAAGTGTATTGTGATGATGATCCTAGAATGGTAGTGAATATTGGATTCCAACTATAGGGTTAGAATCATAGTATTCTAGCACCACTAAAGTGACTTAAAAACAATGCATGAGTGAGTGAGTAAGTTGATGTTAAGTGAGTGAGTGAGTTGGGTTTAACGCCACTTTTAACAGTATTACAGTTATATCGCAGTGAGTCAGCTTAATGTGGGAGGAAAGCCCAAAGTGATGCAGGTCTCAGATGTTTACCACTTCGGTGAAACCCACGAGCACGGGTATGGTGCTGACCAGCTGTCAGACCTAAAAAACATAATCAGGGTGACCCAGGATTCAAACCCACAATCATAGGTTTTAGTGTGCCCAAGGGATGCAACTCTGCCCATTGAGTTGTGGCACTGAGATGATTTGGCCATCTGTACCCCCAAACAGTGCATGGACTGACTAGGAATGTACATGTCATAACAGCAGCAACTATTAACCTTTAGACAGAATGTGCATTAATCCTCAACACATACACTGATGACAAAGTGAGTAAAGGAGGTTTTATCAACAATACAGCCATTGACTTATGGTCCAGACAATCTGGAGATCAACTGTAGAGGCAATGATCATTTGTGACAGTCATTTGACCTATTCTGTACCAAACGAGTGAGAAAGTCCTAAAAGCTGCAGTCAGCAATACCATGAATATTCCATGAGGCTAAAAAACCCATCATCCATAGCATGTTCAGTCTCATGGCACTAAGAGATTCTAGGGAACCTATGACAATGATGTTGAAGACAACAATAATGTCATTAATGATTATGATGATGAAGATGATGATAGTGGTGGGCCCTAGGAAAGAATGACAATGATGTTGAAGACAACCATAATGTCATTAACAGGGTTAAAAACTGGCACTCGTCCTATAGTCCTTGCCAAACTGCCCAATGGTAAAGGTATCATAAGGACTAGTAGAAAATTGCCATTTTTAAGGGTTTTGCTATATGTTATCATTATAAGGTCTAGTGGACGGAAACTGTTAGTTTCTAATGCTGATTAATGATGATGATGATAATGGTGGGCCCTAGGAAAGTATGACAATGATGTTGAAGACAACGATAATGTCATTAATGATGATGATGATGATGATGATGATGATGATGATGGTGGGCCCGTGGGGATTCCAGGTTACAATAGGTTCCCAGCAGGCGGCCATCATACCGTTGGAATAATGCTGAGTGTGGCATTAAACAAAAAAACAAACAGCTCACAGGTTATTAAATGTACCTCTGTCGTCTTAGGCTGATCTTGAGGTGGAAGCAGAGGGCCGTCATAGCCTGGTGTCTCCAGCTGGGCTGTTGTGTTGATGTTCATCAGCTTCATGTCCGTCCACCACTTGCGGTATGTGTCTTCAACTGCAACAAACATGGGTAAATGAATCATGAAATACTCATTCTATTTCCCATTTTATAATCACCTTTTGGAGAAAAAAATATCAAGAAGCCAAACATTTCCTTATATTTGCTATTTGTTTGTTTTTCATAGGTTGCTGAGGACCAGTTCTATCCTGGAATCCCCATTAGGCTTAAAAACATAAAAGAATTTGTTTTCAGGCAATAGCTTTCGAAAATATAGTGTGTGCGGTAGTAACCAAAATTTGTTTACAATAAAATCGGCAAAATCATGTTGTTCTAAAGTATTGTTGCATTTCACTGCCAGGGTTGTGTGTTCGAGATGCGGAATATTCAAGATTTATTTAATTTTTTGAAAATGGAAATAAAAACAAAACGTGCAGCAGAGTTTAAGTTGAGCCAGGTGGTGCCTGAGAACCAAGACTATTATTTTCTTTGGCCTTTGGTAGACAAAACTGTTACTCTTTGAGTCCAATAAAGATTAGCCAAATTAATCTAAAATACCATCGTGGAACAGATTCTACCAACCTGGAAAATACTCCATAAAGCTTGAGTCAAGGACTGTCACAATCATAGCACTGTCAGCCATGTTGAGGATTGCCAGAGACCAGACAAGGTCAAGCCACTGTGTGGGATCTTCATCTCTGACAGATGCCAGGTTAGACGACAAGATGGCCTTCACCAGCCTGACTGTCTGTGGACTGACGTAGTTCAATCTGGCAATAGATATGACCACCTTAGCTTTGTCCATTGCAGACAGTTCCACTAACCCTTTCTCTAAGAGTTCAGTGAGTCCATCCAGGAGAGTGTCATCTTTCCACTGAAGCTCGGACAGTGAGCGTAAGATTGACAGCAGGGTGAGTGACTCTGGCTGTAGAGTGCTGGTAGTGTTGGCAGTAATACTCTGTAACAACTCAGTGTCATACACATTAAGGCGGCTACAAGCATAGAAAAGTTTAGCAAAGTCTTTAAGATTCAACGTATTCATATCTTGTTTCTGTTTATTCAACTGTTTCACCACAGATCGAATCAAGGGCTCATTTCGACGTTGTTTCTTAGCCAAAATAAACAGAATTCGACTTAAGTGTTTTGCGCCCATGTTCTGCACCAGTGTGAGAGCCAGGTCATCAGTTGCCTTGATGGAGTACCCAGCATACATCAAGGACAAGAGGAGAGACGGTTTGGTAATGTCCTCCCACTGTTCACCAAGCCTGATGGCAGCGTTTTGGACGATCTCCTTGCGAAGTGGGCTTTCCTGATGGTTCTGAAGATGAGACACAACCTTGATGAGGGAAGGGAGAGGACAGATCTGTATACTCTGAAGAACCTTCTGCCCCAATGCTTCTATCACAGGTGTATCAGTTTCATACATTTCTACAAGAGGCAGCAGACAGCTAACTGTGTCCGAAACACTCAAATACGAAATTCCATTTAGTAGTCTATCTTCAAACAGACTAAAGTTTCCGGAGCCAAGCGTTTCGACCTGGACATAGCCCTGTCTTCTGAGTTCATTGAGTCTAGCCAAAACTAGCGACATTTCATGTGAAAACAACACCTTTGTGAACATCAGTTCTAGGTCTTCAATTGTACTTTTTGTAATATGTGGTGTTAGATCCCACGATGACTTTGTTGCTTTTATAAAATTGAAGCCACCTCTCTTAGTTTGGGAATCGACTGGCGTTTCTTCTGCATATGTGTTGCCTTGGACAGTGGTGTCAGTTGTCATAGAGACGGCACACTGAGATAATGTGACTTGTGGATGTAAAGCTGCTGCTCTGCGACTTCCTTGCAGGCAGAGATGGCGCCACAGAGGCGTAAAAATCTGTTTTGAATACATTCCTGTAAGAAAAAGAAAGTGATAAGGATTATCTTTGGCTTTTAATTGGAACGACAAATTGTGTCTTAACTTGAACAAATTGGAAGCCCTTGCAAGGTTGATTCAAGATGCCAAACATGACTTTACAGTCTGAGCAAAAATGTTTTGAATTTTCTTGCCTAAAATGTACTATGGCATTTTCAGTATATACTTGTCTCACTATATTTACTAGTATAAGCTGATCTTACTTGACCAGGAAGAAATTTACATAATTCTGGTGAGTGTCAAAAGTTGTAGACTGTGTCATCTGCAAGCTAAATTTTAATGAAGTAGAGTCAAATCAATCTAGCAATGATTTGCTTCAATACAAGGATTATATGTCTCAGTTTTACACTACCGTAAGCTAATTATAATACCAGACCTACATGGGCAACAGACTGTTAAGCATACTTCCTCTATAGTTCAATATGGCTAAATAGAACATGGAATGTAAACATAGTGAACATTTTCGCCTCGTTCAAGCAGGACCACCTATGAACTCTGGGTGTCTTAAAAAAACTTGACTACACAAGGAAAATTCACTCAATAAATTGATACTTTCTTTGTCCTGATTTTAAACATTTTAAACATGTTAATATTCATCAATTAGTTTTTCCTGATTACTGGAATTAATGAAATTCTCTGTTACCCTTTTAGGCTGAATTTGGAAAGATCTGGGAGTCGTGTTTGGTTCCAAATTAAATTTAGCGGTTTTTAATCTACAGGTAACCTAGCTCTACAATGAAAACACAGTATGTCTATAAGTAATTTTTCCTCTTTTCCTCAATAAGTGCCCACGTAAGAAAGCAAGTAAATCGGTTTGACAGCCCCCAGTACAAGAGTTACTTCCCTTGGAACTGTTACACCTCCTGTTTCATCGATCTTCTTGCTTTTATGTTTTCATGATAACAGGGCAACCTAGATACAATGCTTTCTGTATTAGCATTTCAGGTACTTTACGTTTCATCCGAATCAAGTTATTTCCTTGACAAACCTTTCAGAGGCATCCCAGATTCACGAGCCAAACTATAAACTAACATGACTGACACGAATAGTCAATATGCCCTTGACGAACGGGTGCAATATGTCAGTACAGTGCATCGGTTAACAGGTTCAGATGTAAGGAAATACACTTACTGACATATGAAGAAGAATAGTTTAACGAAACGCCTCACTTGTGTGCATTGCTCCCAAAGTTTGTCAGTATAAATGACCGGTTTACTGGCCCGATCGTGTAAACATGCTTACTGCTATGTGAAAGCTCTAAACAGCGACGTTGTCATCTCAGCGGATAGTCGTAACATGTAGCACGCGTTACTTAGAGCCGAAGCACCAAGCTCCTCACAGCGATATCCCGTTCGCGGAGCTCTCAAAGCTATACCGAGAGTGTAACGAAGGTGTCGCGCGCTGGGAAGGAGTTTGCCAAAGCACCGGTAAAGTGAGGTAAGGATGAGTGAGTGAGTGACAGAGACAATGACGTTTAACTGGGCTCCTGACCATTTAATTTTGTTGTGCTGTGCGATACTGATTTTACAAAATTAGTTTCGTACATATAACACCGTATTATGAAATGTAATCAGTGAGACAACTTGTTTGTTTTGTTGTTTAACGCCGCACTCAGCAATATTCCAGCTATATGACTATATATGAATAAGAGAGTCTGAACCAGACAATCCAGTGATTGACATCATGAGCATCGATCCACGCAATTGGGATACAATGACATGCATCTACATGGGGCGGATACAGCCTGCCGTCATATAGCTGGAATATTGCTGAGTGCGGCGTTAAACAACAAGCCAACCAACTGTTCTGTAAAGCGTGATATTTCACACGATTGGAGCAACATTTTTCTATATGATGTTCCGGATTTTATAACACACGGATGTCGTGCACATGGTTAGGGGTGACGTCAAGTTATGACCACCACATGCTTGCATAACCGCACGGCAACGTCTAAACATTGACTGTACTATTCTCTGAATTCTGGGTTGGGGAAATCATTCTCCATCCCTCCTGCAGTGTTCCAGCCAGTTCATGAAGTGGTGTAGGCTGTGTTGACGTTGTCATAGACGTCGGCCGAGTTTATCTCAAAGATGCTCAATTGGGTTCAAATCTGGCGACCTGGGTGGCCAAGGAAGCACATTTACGTTGTTATTGGCTAGAAAGGCTCCCTAGCCACGAGCCGTGTGCGGCCTGGCGTTATCATGTCGCAAAATCTCACGCTGGACATTAATGGCAGGAAGGAGGTGATGCTGCAAATTTTCGTCCCTGTCACGTAAAGCCGTCAGATTACCCTGCACTTGAACAAGATTCGTACGTTGTGTGTATGATATCGCCCCCACATCATGACACTTCCATGACGTTCACAATTACGGGCAATACGTTCGTTAACACGCCTGTACACGCGAATTCGGCCATCACGTCTTTCTTGGAGAAAACGTGATTCATCACAAAACCATATTCGTCCCCATTGCTGCATGTTCCAGATTTGAACGTCAATGCACCATCGAACGCGTTGAAGTCGATGAGGACGTCGTAAAACGTAGCCAAAGTAAGGCCTCCTGGCTCTCAATCCAACCTGAAGACGATTCCATACAGCCTGGGCGGACATCCTTCGTAGTCCCCGGCACGCTGGCAGCGGTGTTTTCTGCATGTAAATGCAGAACCCGGATGTACCTATCTTTGGCGGGTGTGGTGACTCGTGGTCGGCCGGAACGTGGACGGTCATTGGTTGACCCAGAAGATTTAAATCGTACAACGAGATGTGAAATTCTGGTTGACATTTAGACTGATGCCTGAGACTCTCCTGCTTGAAGTCGGCCTGTGGCGATATTGCGTGTTGTAGAATCAAGTTTTTTCAAAATGGCAAAACCATATAACAAATTTGTAGACAGATGTTTTTTTAAGCCATGTAGAGCCAGTACGTTTTCCATAATTTGCACGCATGAAACGTTTAAGGTGGCGTTGGGCGTCATGTTTTCGAAATTTGTGAACAACGCACCCAAAGTTAATATGTCCAAACCAACTGGCACCATTTCCTGTACCAAATATTCACATGGGTATACGTAGATGTTCCATGGCGTATTTCAACAATTTTGAAGCCATTTTGGTGAAAGAAACACTATTCATTGTAATGCAATCGGTTATGCGTTTCTTATTTTGAGGGTATATACCTGTTTGTTCAAAGCGGCGTTAAACTAAAATCACTCGCTTACACTCATATTTCTTTGATACATTTGACTGAAGGAATTGTTGTTGCGATAGTGTACGAAGTAAGCCAGTCACAGTGTATTTTTTATCGTGTCAAGTAAATACCAGTATATTTTAGACGTCGTGTGCTATCTAGGCGTAACGCGTCCCTTAAATAAGGTAATAAACAGAGCCGTATTATGCGCTTTAAATCGGTGGGGCTTACATATGGGAATGTGTTCGTGAATGAAAATATGTTTATTTGGTAATAGATCAAGAATATCGCCTGTCAGTATATGAACTAAATGCATAGTTATAATGTTGGAATACATTCATTACAAATGGTGACAAGCGTTATAAGTGCGCCAGCGAAATCTGTGCTTAATTCGCCACTCAAATTGGATGACGTATCGATGAGTTGCCGTTCTAGCCTGATTCTGTTATAATTACCTTTGGCACAAGCGCCAGAACACATAATTGATCTGAACAGGTTACATATCAAATTATACATAATACATCAACATTCTGATATTTCTGCTATCCACAATGTGAAGTAGAGTCGTCTTATTGTTGATAGTCATTCTTAGATATAAATGAGACCACTCGCATTCTTCTCATTTGATTACGCTCGCATTAATTTAAAGATTTACAGTAAGAACCGTCATTATCATCTGCAGCCAAGCCCAGTTAATACTATGCAGTTTGACAGGAATCCACGACACCGTATTCAATTAGTATTGGGAACGCTTATTGCCGGTCGTAAGTGGCGACCAAATAATGATTTATTAAATAATTATTGGTCCCTTAGAAACCTATGCAGGTCGAAAGCAGCGACCTTATGAATCGGGTGGTCAGGTTCGCTTGACTTCGTTGACAGCATGACAACGTACCCTGACGGCGTGGGACGAGGCTCATAATATCAAACACTGGATTGTCTGGAACAGACTCGATTAGTCCGCCCTCATATAGCTAGAATATTGCCAATTGTGGCGTTTAACAAACAAACCAACATACAAACCTAGCACTTCGTGTTGGCTATACAAAGAAAACAAAACGACAATATTACGTTGGAAGGACATTCCAGGGGGAATTCAGTGTATACAGATTAACACAATTTATCTGATTTTTCGGAATCCTCCATTTTGCTCCCAGAATATTAAATTTAAAAAAAAATATGAAAAATGATTTTTATATTCTGGTAACTAAGTGGTTATACCTTGCAAAGACATGACTGGCAAATTGATCTGTATCATCTTATCTTTGGTATTTCATCAGTTTATGAATTATTCACAGATGTCAAGAGGACTCATCGATTTTCAGTCAGTTTTTTACAGACATCTTCAGAAATATAATAACAAGAATTTCGACTTCTATATTTATAACTTTTGAAATTTTCCACCGAAAAAACCCTAATGAATAGTATTTATTGATGAACAGGTTTTATGTGGTAGCAAACATGTAATGGTTGAAAGCCGTGTAATGATTTACAATGTATACCACGAGATCTATGTTCTGGTTAAAATATTCATTCTTATCCATAGAGGAGGCGCACATGCGCACGCACGCACGCACGCACGCACGCACGCACGCACGCACACACACACACACACACACACCGTGGGTTCAAATCCCAGATTCACACTAGACGCATAGACCTCCGTTTGTCAGTTCCTAGACATTCCTAGTGGGTGTAGCCAATGCGAAAAATGTGTGTGTGTGTGTGTGTGTGTGTGTGTGTGTGTGTGTGTGTGTGCGGACTGATGCCAAATCTGGGGTAGAATAGGTCTTCAGCAACCCATGCTTGCCATAAAAGGCGATTATGCTTGTCGTAAGAGGCGACTTACGAGATCGGGTGGTCAGGCTCGCTGACTTGGTTGATGCATGTCATCGTATCCCAATGCGTGGATCGATGCTCATGATGTCAATCATTGGATTGTCTGGTCCAGACTCGATTATTTACAGACCGCCGTCATATAGCTGGAATACTGCTGAGTGCGGCGTTAAACAACAAACCAACCATCCAAGGTAGTCCACCTCTACCTTGTCTAATTCACTCACAATACCCAGTTGGTACAAAACGTATTAATAAATTATCAATTTTCACATGCTCACGATATAGTCGGAATCGTACAATAGACTCTGCTTTCGGCAGAAATATCTTCTGATAATGGAAATCCTTTTTGTCGCTTATGTTTTCGGGGCGATTCTTTGACCCAAGTTCTAACGTATAGAATTACTGATATTAAACTAGGAACGGAGGAGGGGATACGATCACCGCTTCTACCATCCACTCACTCCAACAAATGTCACCAGTATCGACGAGGGCTGCGCCGTGAAGACGATAATGATATAAAAAAATCATCAAAATATAAAATCAATGAGAATCAATCGAAGCAGATACAATTAGCTGATATTTCTATATTACGTTAATAGTCAACGAACCGAACGAGCTTCATCGACCTCACTGATCACAATAGTGTGTCAATTTCCTTCTCAAACGCGCGAGACCGCCTCCGTGGTCTATTGGTAGAGCGTCCGCCCCGAGAGCGGAAGGTCCGGGGTTCGATCCCCGACCGCGTCATACCAAAAGACGTTAAAAGATGGTACTTGTTGTTACCCTGTCTGGCGCTCGGCATTGAGGGGCTAAAACAAGGACTGGTCGGCTCGGAGTCAGTATACTGTGTCTGAGTGGGGTATTCATGCTAAACTGCGGCATGGTATCTCAGTGAGCTAGCACTATAAATCGGCATCAGTCCGGACTAGTACAAGCAGCCACACAAACACACACACGTACATGCACGTCGCTATATAAGTGCAATAATCTTGGACGCGACGTTAAACCCTATTTCACCTCACCTCACCTCAAACGCGCGACAAGAGAGTGGGGTTCACTAGTCATCTGTACTGTTCGATACCTACAGTAAGTAGAATTAGCAATCTGTAGGATTTCATTTAAAAAGCTGAATGCAGAATAAAAAGCGAAATGATTTTTGGATATTTATTCATACAAAAAAACGTCAACCCCAGATAATGTCTCGATTTAACCGAAAAAAATTCCTTTTGGCGTAAAGGTAATTTACA